TTTTATTAAGAAAATTATAGTAAAAAGTATTCTTGCAGTTTAGAAATACCTTTTTACTAAGAAAAACTTAGTAAAAAATGCATTTGTAGCCTTAAAAATGGTATTTTACTAGAAAAATATAATAAAAATGCTTCTGCAATTCCTGAAATGTTATTTTATTAAGAATTATAGTAAAAATATCTTTGCAATTTTAGAGAAATTATTTACTAAAAAAATATAGTAAAAAATGCCTTTACGACTTTGAAGACATTATTTATCCAAGAAAATATAGTAAAAAATGTCTCTATAACTTCAGAAATGTTATTTTACTAAGAAAACATAGTAAAAATACCTTCTCAGCTTAAAAGACATTATTTTACCAAAAAAACATAGTAAAAAATACCTCTGCAACTTTGAAGATATTTTTTACTAAAAAAAACTAGTAAAAAATGCATCTACAGCTTCAAAAATATTTTTAACTAATAAAATGATTACAACATAGAGATAGCGATTATTATTAAATTTTCTTAATAAAACTAAAGCTGCGATAGTAGTTATTAAGTTTCTTAGTAAACTGAAGTTAGGATGATGGTTATTACTATGTTTTCTTAGTAAATTTGAAGATGGTGATGATGATGATAATATAAATGACAGTTGTGATGATGATGATAATAATAATAATAATTTAAATAGCAGTTATAATGATGATGTTGATAATAGTTACTGTGGTAATATTGACAGTATTAATGTTTCTAATTCTAATGAACTATTATTTATTAAAAAATCAAAAATGCATTTAAAAAATTAAAAATATTCTTTATTTTAAATTAAAAAATTACTTATTAAGATGATAATAATGAAATAGAAGAAGTTCTTATTAAATGTTATGATGTAAATATTCGTGTAATGATGATAGTGATGATATTGATGTTATAATAATAATGGTAATTTTAATGTTAATAATGTATTTATTGAATATCTATGCAATTCTAAAATCCATTTTATTGAGAGATTATGTAATTTTAAATATTCTAAAATTTTTGTTTCATTTGGTTTATTAATTTGTTTTTTAATAAGTTGGTTGATATGGTTGATATGTTGATTAGATTATTGATTAGTTTGTTAGTTGATTTGTTCATTGGTTTATTTATTGGTTTGTTTTATTTTTTTGTTTGATTTTTTTGTTTTTTTAAAAAAAAAAATTTTTTTGCTCTTTTAAATAAAATATATTTTTTTTAAAAAAAGAATTTTAAAATGTGTTTACCATTTCTTGTTAATCCAGATATAAAATAGACTTACATAAACTGATTTTGAATCAACATAACCAATCAATTGATTGATAAATCAATTTATCAATCAATTAATCAAAGTAAATTGATTAATTCATAAAGTCCAGTTATCAATTTATAATAAAAAAGAAATTAAAATTAAAATATCAAAAAATAAGTTTAGTAGTAAGAAAATAGGGAAAATAGGGCTTTTGGCAAATTTCAATCAAATGTTTTCATAGCGTAAACTCAATATCAACAAATATGTGACCTTAAGAAAACCAATTTGCTTACTTGATTGTTATTCGCTCTGTAAACATTAACTTTCTTTATGTAAAATTAAATTTTCATTTTGGCACAATCAAGTCTGAAACATTTTGGTATTCATTCTGGATATCATAAATTTTTCGCATACATTTTAATCAAATTGCCTCCCAATAGCATACTGCTTAGGTAGCAAGAGAGAACAAGTATGAGGGGAGCGAAGTATGATGAATGTGCATTCAATATAGGAGAATAAGTATGAGCTGGCAAAGTTTTTTAGTGTAACGCCAGCGAATACGCATTTGACCCTATGCTACCTTAAAATATATGCTAAAATTATAAGGCAAATAGAATACAATTAAGGTTTGTAAAGCGAAGTGAAACATGTACACAAGTTATGAGAACTAATAATGCTTGCAAACTGAAGAGCAAAGAAGAGCATGTTTCTAAAACATGTAAACAAAGCTTCCTTTCATTTAGCATACCATTGATTTCTGACTATATATTATCTTTTTTTAGCCTAAAACTAGCCTATCATCAGCCTGAATTTTTGCAAGCTTCTGACGTTGATAAAATCTCGAATGCGATATTTACCTGCATGGTCTCTATAGGCTTTATAAATAGAGGAAGTTGATTTTTCGCATTCTATACACGGAATTTGTCTAGGATAATTACGGTGAACTTTGCACACATTTAGGTGATAACATCATATATTTCAAATTGCGTCACTTCGTAGGATATAAGGGCAACGATAAAATCCTCCCATAGTTTTTTTGAATAAATATGTAACTCTAATTATTCGAATAAATTATTTTTCATTTTAAACTTTTTGTAACCATATATACTTTTTGAGATAAAATGAGCGGATTACTTGATAGTATAACTGGCACATTAGGACGATTATTTGGAAATTTTTGGGAAGATTTGATACCACCTGAGACTTCTGAACTACCAGTATTAGAAGAAGAGCTGGAGGTGAAGTCGGATAGGGAGATCGACTATGAAACTGCCTTAACCTGCTGAAATATCTAAAATACAGAAACAAGATGGTATTCAGCTATTCAGAGATTTCTATTCTGGAAAAAGAAAGGTAATAATGTTGAGTTTTATGATAAAAGTATATAATGGACTGGCTCCAAAAGTGACTTTTGAGATTCATCTCGAGACTGGTTCTAATAAAAGTCAATCCAAATGAAACACTTCAGGAAGTATATAAATGATATAATGAAGAAGCCAGTGCAATCTAGTGGCAGAGTATAAAACAGATTGATTTATGAAAAACTAGAACATATGCAATGGCAAGTTTGCATTTCTTTCAAGATGTCACTTTAGCTCCTAGAAAAGCAGAAGACTTAACACAAGAAGAAGATTATTGGATTAATTCAATCTACATGAGAGAATTAATATAGGCTGAGCCATATGAAGGAATCGTGATTGAATTAGACTTTAATGAATTTTATCTAAATATCTTAGCTTATGGTTATATGACAGACTGGCCAGTAAGAGTAGGTGAATTTAAAACAATCATACATATTAGGACTGTTTCTATCAAGAACTACCTAAAGTATAGTATTTATTGAGTCTTCATAGGTGGTCAACTAGCAGAATAAAAATGTATAAGAGGATTTCGTTATAATCCTATAGGATATTACACTAACTATAATTTATTATTAGCAATGGATTTAGGTCTTTATATAGAATTATTCGTTGAAAGTTTTAATGCTCTAATATTTGAGCAAAGTAAGCTCATGAGCGGGTATAATATTTTCAATTAATGGGCAAGTTGTCATACAACAATTAAGAATGAAGGTGAACAGGCAGGGAAAGTAGCTAATCATATGTTAGTATCTCTTTGAGGGCGATTATACTCAGATGGGAGAAGACTAGACCCATATCGGCGTATGGCATCATTTATCTCAGCAAAGTGTTGTAAAATATATCAGAAAAAATTAAGCCTCTAGGAGATTGTGTAAAACGTATTCACACAGATGGCTTTATTATTTCAGATAAAAATACTAAACAGCTGATAGAAAAATATGTAGGCGGGAGGAGTGATCTAAAAATTGTAAAATCAGGTATTGTGATGATAAAAAATGTAATAAATCTAAAGTGGATCGAATTTGAGGAAATAGTTCCACCATTCCCAAAATTGTAAAAATCACCCATCCGTTATATATCTTTGCCAAATAAGATTTTTGATAGAATTTTCAATATCATAGAAAAAATGAAGACAAAATAATGTATTCTCTTTTATTTATTAATAAGCGATGGTATAATATTGCTAGAAGAGTATTATGGCAAAGAATAGTTCTAATGGCTATATCTGGAATCAAGTTCATTAAAGCATTAAGAAAAGAAACAAAAATAAATGCATGTGCGCAAGTATTAGATCTAAAATTTAGATGAGAAATAAATATAGAGCCAGATGTGTACATTTCCGAAGAGTGTAAGGCATGCCCAAATTTACAATGGCTAAGTTTTGAAAATTGTGGATCGTGTATACTTAACAATGAAAATCTGAAGTACTTCTAGCTGAGTATCCTAAATTAAAAAGACTCACGATAAGAGGTTTTAGATGCATAAATCTGCAAACATTTTTAAAAATTCCAGGGCTGGCTTCTAGTTTAGGAATGATAGAAATAGGGGGTATTTACAGATTGGAAAGAATATATTATCTGATTTCCAAATCTTATATCCAAAAATAAACTCATAATTAAAGAGGAATAGGCTAGTGATGAGCAGAACTAGTATTAGAGAAGTTAGAATAAATTTTTTTAATTCCAGAGAAATATTTTTAATTTGAACTTTTTTCTAACCATAATATACCGAAAAGTATATATAATATATTCATACAAGCCACTTGAAATATCAGTTACAATTGTTATAATTATCAAAAGCTTTTATTAAAGGTTCTTGATAAGCTCTACTAGATAAATAGCACTTGGTATAAAGAAATCCAGTATGAGTTTCAGTAAAGATGAAAGATACAAGTATTAGAATATCATAAATTAGGATTTGAAAAAGCGATGTTAGAATATCCCTATGATTTAGAATATTGGAAATCAAAAACAGAGGAAATTATTTTAAGGGAAATTGCAATAGCTAAAAAACAGGTAGAGATCGAAAGATTTATGCATCATAATGGAATGCTCAAAAAACAGGAAAAAGAAATAGTCAAATATAATATTCAGCAAATAGCTAAAAATGTTATTCCATAGTGGGATGTAGATAAATGGAAAGAGTCATAAATAATAGATATCTATAAGAAGAAATATACGGAAGAAGGAATGTCTCTAGAAATAGCTACAAAAAAATATAATAAATCTTTTAGATTCAGAGTAAAACAATTTATAACTAAATTCCTTTTGATGATACAGATACGGTGATATTTGTCTGATAAGTACAGTACTTATCTAGATTAGTATAAACATAGATATTATATATTTTTTTCTGACACAATAAATATACAATTATAAAAATAATACTAAAATGAGATCACTCAAAAGTATATTAGTTTCTGTAAAAATCAAAGCGCTAGAGGAAAGGTTGGATGATATAGATAATCGTTTAGATACAATATTTTCCTACTCTTGTCCATCTGAGCTTAAGAAGAAGGTTAAAAAGCTAGAACGAACTGTAGACTGGATAGGAAATTATATAGAAAAGCAGATTGGTTTAGAGCCTGGCAAAGCACTAACAGATTCATCCAATTCATCTGAGTCAGATTATGATTATGTGAATGTGACTCAGAAAAGAAGGTTCAAAAAGTAAAATATGTGAAGAAAAGATTCAGTAATAAGAAGGTGAAACGTAAAAGATATCTATCCTGATCTGTTAATGTTAAATCAACTAATTATTGAATTGGGCAAACTAACTAGTATTGGCTAAGAAATCGAGGAATAATAAGCATAAGACTGCAGTAAGTTCACTACTAATCCCATGCAATACTTGCCATTATGCAATCCAGTCAAATATGATAACACATATGATAGGATAACTGACTTTATCACTATTAAGAATATAAAGGAATCCGATCTGATGATTATTAATCAATTATTTTTTTTCTTAATATGAAAGAAAGCTCTATTAGCCTGCAGATCAAAGAGGTTGGGATTGTTTCACAGTATTACATTTCGCAAAATTAATCTACGATTTGTTAATTAATTTCTTACTCATTATGTAACACAGTAAATTTTCCAACTGTTAAGGCTATTTTGGGTTCCTGTGATTCATATACTACATACCTTGACTTGTTTTGAAGCTTTAGGTGTCCTGCATCTGGCCAAATTGGTTTGGGATTTCTATGATATCTGGATTAGGTTATATGAACGATTGAAATTCCAATTCTTATATAATGGCTAATAATAAATTAGGGTTTACTCGAACGAAGTTCGAAAATAACGTTGAGATTAATTGTTGTGAAAAGACAACCTCATTTGAATTTCTTTTTGACGGTTTAATCATTAATTATGAATTTCTTGGTTGGGTTGGAGAAGGATTTCAGTGATCAGTCGATCTAAATGGGTTTGAGCTTTTATTGGCAATAGAACTACGAGAGATAGTCATTATTTAGTTTTTTTACCTACTTTGTAATTCTTTTTTGTAATTTTTATTTAGTATACAATGTAAAATTTTAATAAACTATACCAGTACTGCATTGTTAAAAGTCAAAAAAACCATTAGATTCTTTGTGACTTAATAGATCCAATGAGCTAACATTTATTGATTTTGAATCATCCAATCACGAGATAATTGAAATTGTATTATCGGCTGAAATTATGAATCAATAAATTCTACTTTAAATAAAGGAGTCTGGATTTTGAAATACGATCGCAAATATCTTGAGATAGGCTGATTCAAAATCAATGAATATTAGCTTATTGGATTCATCTAGTCGTGAGGAATTAAATAGTAGTTGTATCATATGAATCGATGCGAAATTGACCGAGATCATGCATCTTTTTTTTATATATAAAAAATCATGTGATATGACGTAATTTTGACTATTTTGACTTTTCATTTCGACTTTAACCTCCAAAGTCGAAACATTTCGATGACTTTTGGATTTCATTTTGACTTCATATATAATTGACTCCATTAGAAGTGCGATTCAAATGAATCTGATCTATCCTATCAACTAGTGTTCTGCAAAATTTCCGATTCAATCTGAATCTGATCTGGATCCAAAAGATCAAATCGAATCAGATTCAGATCCGGATTTTGATTTGATTCAATCTGTCAGATCCGGATTGGATTTGAATTTGGATTTGATTCAATCTGACGGATTCGGATTTGGATTCAGATCCAATTTGTTGAATTTGAAAAAAAAAATACCACCTGAAGTAGGACGCGATATTTATTAAAAAAATTTAATTTTTAATATCAAAATGCTGTCCGAAAGTCAGACGCGGCATTTATTATTAAAAAATTAATTTTTATTAATTTTTAATAATAAAATGCTGTCCCGAAAGTCAGAGGTGAAATTTATTAATAAAAAATTAATAAAATTAATTTTTAATAACAAAATGCCATTCCAAAAGTCAGAGGTAGCATTTATTATTAAAAAAATTAATATTTAATAATAAAATGCCGCCCTGAAATCAGATGCAGCATTTATTAATAAAAAAATTAATTTTTAAAAATTTTTAATATTAAAATGCCGCATCAAAAGTCAGACGTAACATTTATTATTAAAAAATTAATTTTTACTAATTTTTAATATTAAAATGCCGCATCAAAAGTCAGACGCAACATTTATTATTAAAAAATTCATTATTAATAATTTTTAGTATTAAAATGTCGCAGCGAGACGGCATTTATTAATAAAAAATTGATTTTTTATTAATTTTTATAACAAAATGCTGTCCTGAAAGTCAGAGGTAGCATTTATTATTAAAAAAATTTAATTTTTAACAATAAAATGCCGCCCAAAAGTCAGACATGGCATTTATTATTAAAAAATTTAATTTTTATATTAAAATGCTACCCGAAAGTCAGATATGGCATTTATTATTAAAAAATTGATTTTTATTAATTTTAAATAACAAAATGCCATCCCAAAAGTCAGAGGCAGCATTTATTATTAAAATAATTAATGTTTAATAATAAAATGTTACCCCGAAAGTTAGATGTAGCATTTATTATTAAATGAATTAATGTTTAATAATAAAATTCTACCCTGAAAGTCAGATGAAGCATTTATTAATAAAAAATTAATTTTTATTAATTTTTTATATTAAAATGTTACCCTGAAAGTCAGACATAACATTTATTAATAAAAAAATTAATTTTTATTAATTATTTATATAAAAATGCCACTCTGAAAGTCGGACGCGACATTTATTATTAAAAAAATTAATTTTTAATAATAAAATGCCACCAAAAGTCAGACGCAGTATTTATTAATATAAAAGATTAATAAAAATTAATTTTTTATATAAAAATACCACCCCAAAAATTGTACATGGCATTTATTATTAAAAAATTAATTTTTAATAATAAAATACTGATCTGAACATCAGAGGCGGATTTTTGTTAAAAAAATAACAAAATTGTTGTTTTTTAACGTTAAAATGCCATTCCGAACGTCGGAGGCAGATTTTTGTTAAAAAAATAACAAAATTGTTATTTTTTAATGTTAAAACGCCATTCCGAACGTCAAAGGCAGATTTTTATTAAAAAAATAACAAAATTGATGTTTTTAATATTAAAATACCGTTCCAAACAGCGGAGGCAGATTTTTGTTAAAATTTTTTGATCCGTCAGATACGGATACGGATTCAGATTTGTCAGATTCAGATACAGATTTGGATTCAGATCGAATCGGATTCTGATTTGTGTAAAACACTAGTTGAAAATACGAAAGACTTTATTATGATAAGCTTTAATTTGGATTTATTTAAGGCAGCTCTAGTTAAATCGTAAAAATCAGCTGCTACAGCCAGGATTTTTTCTACATTATGTTAAGAGTCAGCAATACAATTAGTATCATCCATGAAGGCTAATAAAGATATTGATTCTGAAAGAGCTGTAGTAGTATTGTTAATGATATGTTGGTCCATATTGTTACTAGGAATATTTCTCTTTTTATTGCATATGTTTCACTAAGTTACTTTACTGCAGCAAGTAAATTCCTTATCATCAGACTTTATAACCTTAGGGAATTTTGCATCTTACAGGTATCCGGAATGCCTTGAAATTACTTCACTTGTCTTTATAAACTTAAAGGTTTAGAAACTTAGGGAAAAATGTAGAGAATTTGTTTATTCTAAGTGGCAAATTCGATTGCAAGTTTGTGTAGTAGTTCACAATCAAATCCTAGATGGTGGACACATAAAAGGCAAAAGTAATTGTTTTTCAAAGTTGATTCCTTTATTTATTACTTGAATTTGTAATAAAACTAAAACTCGCAAATAAGTTAATTTACAATTTGAGCAAAAAGCTATTCTATTTATACAAAATTAATTTGCTACGGTTAACTAGTTATTATGCTATAAACTAACTACATTTGTAATTATAAGTACTAATATAATAATAATAATAATAATAACAGATAAAATAAATATAATAATAATAATAAAAATAATAAAAATAAGCGTTATAACAATTATCCAGCTTATGGAGCTTATCAGGTAAATCCTAAGAATCCTAAGAATCCTATGGATCCAGAATTATGCAGATCTTCTAATTTGTGATCAACATAAAATTAATTCCAGTAACTTCTGTAGATTATTTGATAATTTTTTGTAGATCAATTTTTTAATAGTAAATTTTTAGTCAGTAACAATGTATATGAGATAATGTATCTTTTATTTAAAATATTGACTTCACATAAAAGTGGATTAAGATAAATACATCATAGTAAAGAAGAAATAACTTCACCTTAATCAATACCAATTTTAACATCATAATAATCGGTAAGTCCATCAGCAGTAAAGATGGCATTTTTTCTATTGGTGAAGAGATTGATAATTAAATCAATACAATGAGCAGGAATCTTGATCCGTTGTAGAGCAAGTCAAAAAATTTAAGATTAATACAATCATAGATCTTGTAATAGAATCCAAAGTTCTTTATTGTTTTTATTTTCATTTTCCAATAACATATTTAAAAATTTTGATAGGTTTTTCTGTAGAGCCACTAGGTAATCCAACAAAATTGTTACCTTTCAAAACATGATGTTTAGTGAGAATTTTAGAAAGTTGATTTGTAACTACTTTAACAAATGCTTTTTGTAATATTTCTAATAATATGATTAAACGTATTTTTGTAATATCACATTCCCATTTTATTGGTTTAGGAATTGGATATACATGAGTAATTTTCCATTTACTTAGAGTATCACTAATATTAAAGCACATGCAAATTAATTGCCAAACTAAGTATTTGAATTTATCTCCTAAATATTGAAACATTTCATTATAGATATCTGAAGGTCTAGCTTATTCTGTATTAGTAAATATTATAAATATATATTTATAATTAAAGATGGTTCCTATAATTATTTTAAAATTTTTAACTAGTTGCAACTTAAGTTGCAACACTTTAAGTTGCAACATTTTATGAATTTTTATATTAAAATAAATTTATAAGGAGTTACAACTTATCGAGTTGCAACTTCTTAATTATGGTATCCATCTTTATTTATAATTATCATTATAATTATAATTTTTAATTAATTAATAACGTTTATTTTTATTTTAGATTAATATTACTATTGATAAAAATGCTCATCATCATAATACTTTTTGAATACTTGAAATTGAGAAAATATATGGAAGGCAGTCAGTAAAAAAAAGGGAAATCTAAATTTTGATCAAAATTTATATTATTAGACCACTTGGCTAATCTCAATTATATGCATAAATTTGACCTAATAATAAAAATTAACAAAAATTTTGGATTTCTCTCTTTTCTACTGACCGCCTCCCATATAGTGAAGTAGAATATTATATTGCACATAAATATATTGAACAAGATTGTTTATTTGCATTTGTGTATA